CCTGTGTCTTCGTAGGTTTCCTCCAGGTGCTCCGGTGTCCCCTACCACTAAAAATATTGAATGAATGGCGTCTTGCTTCTATCATCACTGAGTTACTAGTTCACCGAAATTGTAAAACGTTTTGAGGGATCTTTTTTACAGTTCCTCAGCCAGTGAAATGAGTGTATAAAGAGAACACTGTCATACTATTACAGGACTGAGACAAGAGCTTTTAGACAGAAGGGGAGGAGTTATATGTTCCTGATGTTAGCGACTCTAGGTCTTACGTCACTGATGAGGGAACAATCACATGACTTGATAAAAAGCTCAAAAAAGTTGATATAGTAAAAAATGTCTCCAAGGAAAATTTAACACATTTCATGCAACCTTTTATTGATGTTTTCGACAACTGTTTTGTGTTTTTGTTCTTTTAACACCAAAAAGCACAATGATAACTATTAATGGTAATTCATATTTTTATGTTTTATGTATTTAATATTGTCCTGATATATGCCTATTTACATGAAAAACTCACAGAGAAAAAAGAACAAGAAGTCATTCTGAATTCATGAAAACGTAAAAACCAAAACAGGCTTGCAAGAGTCTGCCGGTCACTCTCCTCATGCATAAATACAGTTATACAATAGCTCTATATGTAAAGATTAAAACCCCAACCCGTCCACTGTTTTTGCTATAATCAAACAATGCAATCTTAAAAGCATTGGAGAATCCTCTTTAGTGCTCACATCTGTGTCCATATCATTTAAATACAGTGGTTGTAGTTGACCTCTGTGCGTTTTATGAACCGCCATGATCACTGCAGCAGCGCAGACAGCTCCAACCGCCTCCTGACCTCTCCGAGATGGGCCATAAAAGAAGGGGGAGGGGACGCGCCTTTTGCTGTGGGGGTGTCTTGACTGCAGACGCTCCTGTGTGAAAATAATTAACGGCATGGCTGAAAAACTGGTTTGAATGTGGCTGGTATACCCTTAAACCAGTTAAAAATATGAATGAAGTGTTTGTGAATGACCTAATATCTCCTTAGACAAATGTTTTGAGCTTTTCCCAATGCATTGGTCATTAGAACAATACACCTCTACCTGTGAAGAAACCAGATGCACTCAGCTTTGTGTGATTTAAAAAAAAAAAAAAAAATCTACAAAAAAGTCTGTGCAAATGTCACTGTAATTGCGTGGACAACATAAGAAACAGATAAGTGCCATTAGAAAAATATCAGAATGTCTTTAGCTCTTTACTGTGCATTATTCTGAAAAGCCAGAACAATTCTTGTGCCAAGTTATCCAATTTCTTGAGCAAATCCTTTCAAATATTCTGCCAATAATAAAACATGTTGACGATTATAGCTGAAGGGATACAACTCTTTGACACATTTTCAATAGAGCCATCTGCTTTTTGCAAATGAACTCATCAAATGCCCTTTAACCAGTTAGATATATGAAAAAGTGATTACAATCAATTACAATTATAATCTCTCCATAGATGATCAAATGGAGGGTATTATGTTCCTGAAATATATCATTTTCCCAATGCCTAGGTGTTAAGAGCAAGAGAACGCTACCTTTGTAAAGACCAGATGATTTATGTCAATTTAACAAAAGTCATTTAGTTTTTATTTGAGAAGGACAGTGCACATGCAACATTAAGCTCAGAGACAGATCTGCTCCACCAGTGAACCAACACTGTATGTAGCTACACAACTGGCTTCCATCTGCACTCCTCAGTTGCATGAAATTACACCTACAATAACCCCCTCTCTCGCTCACACACACACACACACACACATCTACAACATCCCACAGACAACACACCCTCTCATTCACACCACATGAATTCCATAACCCCAATTAAGTTCGTTCACACTAACAATAAAATCAATGAAAATACATTTCACTCTGTAATACATGGATACAAATATTCTCACACACATATATACATACAATATATACATAATAAGTTGTCATGTGGGGCAGACCTAGAGCCCACCTCAGTGTCCATGTGAGCAGCTTTGATTTCTCCAAAGCAACTTTTTACTGTCAGTTCAAGTTCTGTTGTGAGCTCATTCTTTCCTTTATTTCCTAATACAGAAAAGGTTGATTGTCAGTGTAGACAGTCTATGCACATTTTTCTGTAATTGCATAGCATTCAAACAAAATATGTGACATGAAGAGTTTTAGACCAAGATAAACTCAAGATAAATTCATTTCCTGTCAGAAGAACTGACAGGAAATTCATTAAATGCATCACACATGGTCTCATATGTTCTGCCGTCAAGAAACTGACACTTTCAGGACCATGTTTGTCATTTCATAATTGCCCACTTAAGTTTTTGTCTGTTCAGTTTTCCAGAAATCACACAAATCTTGCGGTCATAATACGCCTCCTTCCTGAATACCTGTCTCATACCATCTGTCGTAGTGTAGTATTGTATTATTGTATGTACTGTACAAGTATGTGATTTGGAATTCTACTGCATGATATTATTGTGTGTGTGCACTTGTTTTCAACTCCTGGTGGGTTCCATAACCTGAGATTCCACTCACGTCATGGGGACTGGTTTTACGTGGTGGGGCCCGAACACCGGACCCCACTGGTCCAAGCTTAATAATCAATGGGTAATGCTTTTCTAACGGTCCTTATGCAGTCTCTGTAAAAATATGGAAAGGACCCCTGGAGGTTTACTTTCCTGAAAAAAGTGTGTTATGTGTCGGAACCCTGGTGGTGGGTTGCGGGATATCAAGGAGGGGCACACTGGGGCAATTTCAGTCCAGCAGGCTGGAGCCAATCATGGAGCAGCACAACAGAGGAAATCAGGTGTCAGGCTAGAAAAAGGTGCAAGTGTGTGGTTCATTAGGCTGCAAGAAATCATGGAGGAGCACACTGAAGCGCACGCTTACAAACCACTGGTAAGTGCTGACTACAAGTCATGACTTCAAATTGTTATATAGAATGATTACAAATTATTTGTTGTTTGTGCAGCTTAGTCAAGAGTCCCTAATTGATGAAGTCGACTCAGATTCTGACGATTTAACTGTCAAGAAGAAACCTGTAAAAAAGTATGGAAAAAGAAAAATCAAAAACACTTTTCTTCAAGACTCGGAAAGTGACGAACCAAAGGCAAATAAGATTGTTATCATGCAGCTGCAAAAGAAGAAAAATGGGGGGCGAGTATACAGCAAGAGACACTTCTGCCTCTACTGTTCAATGTCCTGCCACAAAATGTCCCGTCATTTGACTAGAAAACATGGAAATGAAAGTGACGTAGCCAGAGCATTGGCTCTACCTGTGAAATCTAAAGCACGTAAACTTCAGTTTGATTTGATCAGGAATAGTGGAAACCGTGAGCACAATTTTGAGGTTTTAAAGGCCGGCATTGGAACTTTAGTCCCAGCTAAACAGCCAAATTCCCCAGTTAAATCCAGTGAGTTTTTGCACTGTATAGACTGTGGGGCATTGCTTAAGCGAAAGTCGCTGTGGAGGCATGTGGCCAGGTGCCGGCTTTCACAGAAAGATGCCCAGGCTAAACCAGGTAGAAGTAGGGTCCAGTCCCTCTGCTCCCTAGCCCAGCCTGTACCGGAGGGCATCAGCAAAAAGCTGTGGTCTTTAATTTCGGCAATGCATCAGGATGAGGTCACGGGTGTTGTCAAAGCAGAAAAGGGGATTCTGAGACTCGGAGAGCACCTGTACTTAAAACACGGGCATGATAAGACAAAGCATGATTACATTAGGCAGAAAATGAGAGAAGTCGGTAGGTTAATTAACGAAGCAAAAACCGCAGGGAAACTGAAAACAATTAAGGATTTCTTTATTCCTTCCAACTTTAACCATGTGATTGATGCAGTCAGGTCTGTGGCTGGATATGATGAGGAAACAAATCAATACAAGACTCCATCCTTGGCCCTCAAACTCGGCCATAGCCTCAGAAAGCTAGCAGATATTCTTGAATGTGACTCAAAAATGGAGCATTGTGTTGATGAACTATTTATTAAAAACCTCCAACGAAGCCGGCTGCTTTTTGAGAAGAGGTGGGACGTCTGTGTTTCTTCTGCTGCCCTACAGACCCTCCGGCAAGCCAAGTGGAACACTCCGGACCTGCTCCCTCTGACTGAGGACGTTAGAGCCATGCATGCACATATTGAGGTATGTCGACCTGAATATGTGCAAACCCTAATAAGTGAGCCAACGTCTAAGCATTGGTCTAAACTGGCAGTTTTGACTCTTTGTGAGGTCATCATTTTCAATCGAAGAAGGGAAGGTGAGGTTTCAAAGATGCCACTGACAGCCTTTACCTTAAGAAGTAAGACTGGGATCCATTCTGACATTGCTCTGGGACTGTCCCAACTTGAGAAAAAGCTGTGTCAGCATTTTCAACGCATTGAAATTAAAGGGAAAAGAAGTCGGAAAGTGCCGGTTCTTTTGACTCCTGAAATGATTGCTTCGATGGAGGTGCTGGTGGAGAACAGAAGGGCCTGTTCCATCTCTGACCATAACCCATACTTCTTTTCCCGCCCGGGCGCAGACACCCACATCAGGGGATCAGACTCCCTACGCCAGGTAGCCAAAGAATGTGGTGCGGTGCATCCAGAGATGCTATCCTCAACCAAACTTAGAAAGCACATAGCTACTATGTCTACAGTTCTCAATATGAAAGAGAATGAGATGGACATACTTGCCAACTTCCTCGGCCATGACATTCGCATCCACAGGCAATATTACAGACTACCAGAGGGGACACTGGAGCTGGCCAAAATCAGCAAAGTGTTGATGGCCATGGAGCAGGGAAGAGTGACGGAATTCGAAGGAAAGAAGCCTCGACCAGATACAAATTGAGCCTGAAGGTAATTCTTGATATTATTAAAATATGTATGATTTTTTTCCCCTAAAGGCCACTTGTATTTTTATTTTCTGTGCGACAGGGAGAGCAGTAGAGATCCTCTCACAAACGGACGGGCTAAAAGAAACTTCAAGCGGAGAACCTTCAACCATTCATCCAGATGCACCCCATGGTAGTGGCAGTGCCCCTTCTGGTAAGTGTACCAGGTGGGGGATTACAGCCAGGCTGCTTGGTCCTCACCCTGGGAGTGTATATTGCTAATATATTTTTATTTCTCTCCCTAGAACGTGTAAGAAAGCCATGGTCTGCATCTGAGGTGAAGGCTGTGGAGAAGACCATGACACCTTTCATACAGACTGGAAAGGTCCCTGGGAAGTCTCACTGCCTGGCCTGCATTAATGCCTCACCAGATGACCTTAGACATCGGACATGGAGTGGCATTAAATTCTATGTCAAAAATAGAATCACTGCAATTCGAAAACAAAATCTAAAATAAAATTCCTTTAAAATAGTTGTTTGGTTTCTATTGACTGTTTTGTATTACTTAAAGTCTTGGTAAAAAAAGATTATGTCTATGGGTCCCATTCTGAACGGCCCTGTCAAAGGGACCCACCAGGTAACAAAAACGTGTATGTGTGTGTGTGTGTGTGTGTGTGTGCCTTGTGTGATTTTGGAACCATGCACTTGTTATTTGTCTGTTATATTGAGATATGTGAAAATATGTGTTGTGGAGGCTCAAAATAAATGATCAAAATCTAAAATACATGCTAGTAGAATCATTATAATGTATTTAATTGTTTCCCATTAACCCAAATTAAAAACATTAGTTGGATAACACTCTAGTACTCTATACCCATGAGCCACTGCTGCAGCATAACTTGGAAATAATTACAAAGTCCCTCCAACGTCGCCTCCTACAGCAGGATGACCATTATGATGTATTCAAGTCACTGGTGAAAAGCTATCATTAACGGCTCTATATAAGAAGTCCACGTTCATATTTAATACGTTTTTTTCCTATTTTCTCTACAGCTTATAAGTTAATGTGGGATAGATAGATAGATAAATAGATAAATAGATAGATAGATAGATAGATACTTTGTTGATCGCTGTAGGAGAAATGCAGGTGTCCAGTAGCAGCAGAAACACATCCATCCGCACAAACAAAACAAATAAATAGATAATTCTAAAAGTAGCGAACAATAGTAAACATCACAACAATACATAGAGCCTGGAGTTAAAACTTGTGGAGGGCATCAGAAGAACCTTCAGCTTTTTTCTCTGTAATCCTTGGGGCAATCCACATGAAACAAAAATGATGACTCAACCTCTTCTTTGTCAGTACATACTAAAAATCAACAGTGAATATTACAAAAAAAACATATGCCTGATGTTGGCCAGGCTGTCAGATATAAGAATTATAAGGACGCTGTCAAATAATGATGGGGAAACTGAAATTTCGACATTTATTTCAATAATTGCTTCCTAATACACCAGCTTGTCATATATTTGTGTCATTCAAAGCATATCCATGGCAACTGACCAGGAACAGAGACCAGAATGTTGTCTCGGTCAGCTCTGCAGATGTAGAAACTAGTCATGTGGTGATCAGCAGGCCCCATAAGGGAAGTTATTAAGCACATCGGACAAAACATATGGCTGCATCTGAATTCAATCAAAAACACCTCCTTTTTAAATCCTTCCTTGACATTACTTTTGATTTTATTGACACTTGTGGCACAAAATGTTACCTGAGGTATTAAAAAACATCTTAAAAGTGTTATACATTTCAATCCTAGAGCTCTACAATCCTATAAAAACACAAGGAAGAATAAGAAAGGGTTAGTGTTAAGTATTTCTGCTGAATTTGAACGCAACCATCATCATCTCCTTCCTCTCCCATTATAGTTCCATAGTAAATGTTCCCTATTTTTCTTTTTACTCCCTCATTGGTTTTTCTCATTGTTTTTCTCCCTTTTCTATACTACTAATTTGTTTTATTTTCTTTTGTTTCTTTTTTTATCTTTTTCTTTTAGGCTCCCGGCAAGGGAGGGGGGATGAGAGGAGGGCCGGGAGAGGGGTGGTTAGAAGTCAGGAAATCAGACCAATGGTAGTGACATTTAGACTTAGAATCTACTGTCCTCAATATCTGTATGTGTGGAGATAAGAAAATGCTAATAAAAAAAGATTTAAATTAGTAAATACTGCCAATTACAACAACAGTGTACTTTTACAGGTTATTCGTGGCCCTATTAGCAACCGTCTGGTCCACTCCCTGGTGACCGCTGTATGGTCACCTGCTCTTTCCCTGTTGTTGTAAATTTCATGAACAGTCAGTGCTCAGTGCAATATTGCTCATTTGTGATTAATTTACTCCCCACAGTCCAGGGAGTGATGTTATTACTATAAAATCAATGTCAGATTAATTTGTCACACCGCTCCCAATGCATTTCGATCATACACTGTATATTAATACGTCAGACTGAGTCAAATGAAGCAGAGGACAATCATTTGTGAATAACTAGAGCAACGCTTATGACAGATGGCTGTTTGAACCTGCACTGAAACAATAACCAAGAGCAAGACTGTAAATAGTAACTGTTAACTTAGCCAATATGTCACTAATACAACTTCTGATTTCCCCTTAAACATGTCCCCAGTGTTGGAGAATTGTGGTGTGAACTATATATATATAGATAAATATCTTTATCAATTCAATTTATTCTTGTATAAAACACATTTAACCATTGGTCCATAAGGGGCAGATGACTAATGTCCATAAATGTTAATACATTTCCATAAATGTTGTTGTCCTGTTATTTAAAAACGTCTGATCTTTTACATACTGAGAGCTGATTGGCCGAGTCTATACTGTCCGAAAAAGCTGATGTAAAGATGTGACAGAGGCTAGTGAGCGAACTAAGTGAACTGTTTTAGAGCCAGGATAGTTACATGGGTTTTATTACATTAGTTATTTTTTTGTTAATTGAAAGCTTTAATCAAGATTTTTTGGCGATTATTTTCTTCGATGTTATTCTCGTAGGTCAGCAATAAAAGGTATTTTTCCTAATTATTTGTCCTGCAGCTCAGAAACTCAATATTTTGTACGTTAAATATTAACATAAATTTAAATTTCCAATTTTCACTGTTCTATTGTAAACATACATTGGAAACATTTAAACTCTCTCAGTATTTGTTAAATAAGACTTCATGTAACTGTACTTGCATTACATGAAGGCCTATTTCCATCACAATTTAAAAAAAAATTATGTTTATTATATTTATTTTGTTTTTTGATTAAAGTCAGCAACTTATGAGCTATTCAACTTAAATTGGATTTTTGTTTATCAAATTGAAATAAAAGTAGTTCAATGTGTGAATGAAAAAATCTAATTTATTTCATAAATATACAATGTTGTTTGTCTTGTAAAAGTAAAATTTTGTCAACAAATCAGATCACAACATGCTGTCTTCCTCTTTTTAGAAACTTATTCAACAAACTTCTAAGAAAGCCCCATGAGTCACTGGTTGATGCTTTGGGCTGAGAGCTGATTGGCTGAGAGCGTGGTTTCACTTGTCTCTCTAAAAAATCTAAATATGTGATAGAGACCGACAATGCAAGTGAAAGCTAGCAATAGGACCAAACTGTTCCGAGTTTGGATTTTATTATTACATTAATTTGTAGTTTGAAATTAGATGCCTCAGCTTTAAATGTATACACTAATGTCAACACCGTACTGTTTCTGGTCTCTCTACTATATATATATATATTTCCTTCTCCTAATTCTATAAAAACTAAAACACTTTCACTGCTGCTCTCTTCCACTAGTCGGCTATGTTCACTCAGATTAGTAGAATTTCCTTTGCTGCTGCTGCTGCTGCTGTCCGTCCTTGAGTACGTGTGCGCGCGTGCATGTGCATGTAGGTATATAAGTGTGTGTGCGTGTATATATATTTCTGGGTGTGAGTGCCTGCGTGCGTATATAGGTTTGTAAATGTAAATGTGTGTGTTTGTGCGCGTGTGTTATTATTGCCGGGTAGAATTACACGTGTGCGTCTGTGCGTGCATGTCTGTGTGTGTGTGTGTGTGTGTGTATGCGTGATGTGTATATAGTATGTGTGCGCGCATACATATATATATATATATATATATATATATATATATATATATATTATATATATATATGTATGTGTGTACGTGTATATGTGTGCGTGCTTGCGTGCGTGTGCGTATGTCCGACCTCCTCTGCAACTTGGACAACAAACCATCCTACACTAGACACTGTGCCAAAAGCGACAGACAGACAGACAGACAGACAGACAGACAGACAGACAGACAGACAGACAGACAGACAGACAGACAGAGCGAGCAGAGACACCCCCGCATAGTTTCTGTCCGCCTGTGATGTGTGCGCGCGTGCGCGTATGCGTGTGTGTGTGTGTGTGTCTATGTGTGTACGGCGGTGGTGACGTCTCCGCCTCTCTGTGCGCAGTGACGCGGTTTGGGGCTGTGTCTGTGTGCGCTGAGAGAGCTGAGAACTAGGCTTTTCCAGACAGTGTGGACCAGACCACGGAGCTCACCGGAGAGAGGAGTACCACAGCGCACAGAGGACGATACGCCTCCACTACGGGCAAGCGCTTTTCTCCAACGCTGTGCTGTTTCGGACTGTCATTTGGAAATATCCTTGGGTATGTAGACATTTGTAGATGTTTTACGCACGACTGTCTTCCGTTTTGTTTTGAATGCGGCGTGTTTTAGCTTGGGTAGTGTTAGCAGTCTGGGGCTAGCATGTTAGCACGCATTAATATTCACCTCTATGGGACAGCCCCTTCGTCACTACAGTATAGACATGGATTGTGTGTTTATTTCGCTGTTTAACAAGACAAAAACTCATTGTTATTTATATTTCAGTTATTGGTAAGACATGGATGAGCTTAAGTTACATTGACGTGTTTGTTATTACTACTGTTTTATGGCTTTATACAGACATATGCCGGTGGGTCAGTGGAGCAAGCTGAGCCATTTGATAATTCAGACGCGACAATTTTGTTTTCTGATTCATATTGAAGAATACAGTGAATTTTACATAATCAGTGTAGCCATATATAAATATAATAAATGAATTTGTTTATTACTTTACGTGCTTTAATGTTCAATTGAGTCAGCTTGTGTGTGGGAAGACACACTGGGGGGGAACCTCTCAGACAGACTTTTACGCATTCGATATCCCCACTTGTGATGTTAGTATAGTCTTGTCTTCAGTGCGATGTTGTAATGACTGGACCGTGGTGCCTTCCCCCCCTCAGACTAGACTGTAGTAGAGTGTTCAGACAGTGAATGTCATTATCATTGCTGTCTGCATACCTCCGCTGTCGTGGCGAAGCGGCTACAGGACTGGGGGAAAAGAGAGAGCAGGCTTGCAGTCTGGAAGGGAAAGGAGGAGGGGTGATGAAGCAGTATGTCCTTGCACCATAAAGGGATAAAGCAGGGAATGACAACTGCACCACCACCTCTGCCACCACCACGCCAAAAGCCAAGATCGGAGGCAAGACGTGGTTTAATAACTCGGGTGTGGATTTACGCAGACAAGCGGGGAGTCCTTTAATGTATCACGCGAGACACGCATCCATTGGTCCGCGGTGTAATTGTGTAGCCACTGCCTTTCGCGTCAGCCTATCGCGAATTTTTGCTGTAAAACGCCTACATCCATTTGCTTTTACGCAGAGCAGCGTTTTTGATCAACGCATCAAAACCGACTCTCCAAATTGCCTCACTGCGCCAAATTGACAGCTTTCAAAATATGAGAGATGTTTGAGCGTATGTGTGGTTTCTGAAAAAGGGGGTTCAGACCAGCCAATGTTGTGGGGTACGCGTTATTTCGGTGTTGACCCAGTGTCATATTGCAGTAGTTGTCGTTATCAGCTACATTAGGCTTTAATTTTGGGGGCAGTTAAGTGTTGTTTACCTTGCTGAGCTGCAGTAGAGCACAGAGTAGAAAGGGGAAAACTGCGCTTTCCACAGAGCTGCGTGTCGTGCTGTGACAGGACTGGGAGCAGAGGACGACTGCTGTTAACGCTTTTATCAATTGTTTTTCACGGTGCTGATGGGGTCAGCGTGGGGTAAGCAGACCTAAGGGGAAGGCACAATATGGTTGGGAAGGGCACTTTCATTTGCAAAGTGACATGTTTTTGACCATTGTGTATCTGCCTTTAGCATTCACAATGTAATGGAAAAGAGGGGCCGGGAGTTTTCAAGCTGCTCACCTGGTTTCGCTTGTTAAAATTCTCACTTTGTGTTGGAAGTTTGCTCTGAAGCCTGGTGAAAAAATACATGCAAATTTCCCCAAGGTTCAATTACAAGGTCTGAGAAAGCAGTGTGTTTGTGTGAAGTATGGTAATAGCCATTTGGTTTAGTGGCCCATGCAAACAGCCACTGACCTCCAGCCTTCAGCTGATAGTGGCCATAAAACATTTTAACTCTTGGAGATTTCATGGGCCACGACACCATCTCATGTGATTATTTCAGTTTATTACACAACTGCTCACTGCAGATAACAATGCTATCTGTAGTGGTGCATGTTTTAAATGTGTTTTTCTTTCTCATTTTTAGAAGTAAAACAAGAGAAGAGGATCTGCACATTGAACACTACTGCCACCATGCATGTGTTTAAGAGCCTGAACATTTGTGTAATTTGAAAAGAATTTGAGAGACTCAATCAGTGGAATATAAGACGTCGGCGCACACAGAGACAGTCACCTATGTTTGACATGGCCAGCACCCAGACCAGCCTCAAGTCCCCCTTTAAAGAGCTGAGTGCTTTCAAAGGCAGCCTGAAGCGTCTGTACAGAGAGCGTCTCGAAGATGCCCCCATAAAGAAGCGTGTGATGGCCGAGATGAACCTGAAGAGGCGCAGTCTTGACCAGCTTCAGAAGCCAGCGAAAGTGAAGCGCGAGCGTGAACGTGAGCGCGATCTAGAAGGGCGTGCAGAGCTACATGTGGGCGGAGCTAAGGCCCTTGACCTCAGCCCTGGACTTAAACACACTCTGGCTCAGTTCACTTTGAGCAGCCAAAGTTCTCTTGGAGGCCCCGCCGCCTTCTCAGCTCGCACCGGACACGAGCACTCCCCGGCAGGCATGCCCCCCCTGCCCTCGCCCCCGGTGCTGGGCGGAGGCCCTCTGCTGGTGCCCTGTGACAGCTCCACAGAGCTCACACACTCTGTGCTGGAGGGAGAGTCCATCTCTTGCTTTGTTGTGGGAGGTGAGAAGCGCCTGTGTCTGCCACAGGTGCTGAACTCAGTGCTGCGCGACTTCTCGCTGCAGCAGATCAACACAGTCTGTGACGAGCTCTACGTCTACTGCTCACGCTGCGACGCAGAGCAGCTTCATATCCTCAAAGTGTTGGGCATCCTGCCCTTCAACGCTCCGTCCTGCGGCCTCATCACACTGACCGATGCTCAGCGTCTGTGCAACGCACTGCTGCGCCCCGGAGCTGCCCTGCCCACAGACCCCAGTGGGAAGCTGTCAGCGCAATCCCTGCTCAAAGAGAGCGACAGCAGCTTCCAGGTGGAACACCAGTGTCTGGGCAAGTGCCAGGGCCTGTTCGTGCCCCAGTTCTACACTCAACCTGAGGCGCCATGCATCCAGTGCGTGGAGTGCCAGCTGCTCTTCTCGCCACAGAAGTTTGTCATGCACTCGCACAAGTCGCCTGACAAGAGGACCTGCCACTGGGGCTTTGACTCGGCCAAGTGGCCCTGCTACCTGCAGCTGGCCCGCAAGTACCAGGGCTCATCTGAAGAGGCCAAACTGAAGCAGCGCCTGGACGAGGTCAAGGAGAAGTTCCACTTCCAGCTCAAGCGCTCGCTAGACAAAGTAAGAGCTTATTGATTTATATTTGTGTGTGTGTGTCTGTGTGTCGAAGGAGGCGAGGTGAGATATGAGCCTTTGTCCTGTGTTATAACTGCTGCTTCCTGATATGAAATATTCCCTCCTGCTCAGAGACACCACAGTCTATGTTTTGTCTGTTCAGCACTCGGGGTTGTTTTCTTAAACCGTTGGTGACCGGTTGTACGCTACAGAGGAACAGGTGGTGACACATGTCTGCTCCGCTCTGATCACAGCTGCAGGACCAGGGGAAGTGTAGTTTGTGTGGGGGTCACTCAGGGGTCTCTGAATGAGGCCGGACAAAAGGCCTGCTACAGAGGCAGCTTTAACTCTGCTTCAGCAGCATGTTCTGGCAGCGGCCTGTGTGACCTCCCACTATAACACAATATCACTACAATGCTAACGACTCCAGTGTTTGTTCAGCCATGTTACACAAATGTTTATTTTAAAACAAGTGTTAAAGATGTCAGCTTTATTTTGAGATGCTAAATTAGTATTGTGTTTGTAAGTAGTTAAATTCAATTACATTTTGGACATCAAGCTATAAGTCATGAAGTTAAAAATGCCTGTTGTTTAAATACATATTAAATATATTTCTTTTAGGCCTTCACTACATTACTGATATGAACTGCTAATGCCTTTCTACAAAGCAAGGGTGTTGGAGTGAAAAGATTGACTTCTGCTTATTGCTATTGACTGCCTAACGTCTCATGACCTGCTTTGACCACAGAGGTTGACGCAGTTGAGTGGTTTTCTCGCACTAGAAGGAGTTCTGTCTAGATCTTGAGTAATCTCAGTTTGTCATTCCCAAATTAACGATCTGCCAACTATTACTAATGGTTTTGCAATCGTTATCATATTTTATTGCCGCCAAGATATGTCTGGCCCGGTTAAATCTGACAAGTTGCGGAAATACTGTCTCGTCTAGCGTCCCGACCGCATTCCTCAGTCGTGGATCACTTCAACATTCTTTCTCAAAACTATAGACGTTTTAATACCGCAGAGGAAATGCACAAAGCGTCTGACATCCAAAACCGTAGACACAACTCATGTACAAAAACACAACCTTGAAATAGAAACTACTTGCTCAGTCTGTCTGCTTGGCATTGTAAACTTGTAAACGGAGTCATGCATACCCATCAATTATCAATGTCTAGTCTTTTTGTGCTTTTTTGTTGACGGCTGTTCCATTGTTAATGCAGTTTAGTTTACTTGTTATGCGACTACTAATTTCAGCACAGAGAAAAGTTAAAGCTCGGGTAACGAATTTATGTTTCATAAATGATAAATGTTGTTTGTCCCAACAGAAAGAGTTTTGTAAAAGTAAAATGGGAAAAATAAGACCGCAACATGCTGTCTTCATCTATTAGAAAACCTCTTTTGCCAAAGAAGAAAGAGTGAGGATGGTCCTCTCTTTTACATAGGTTCATTATTGGAGTTTGAACTTTCATGATCCTGAAATACCCTACAAGAGCAACCAGACTAATTTAAACTTAGTTTTTGTATCCTGTTCTGATTGTTGAGAGTAGAATATCCAATAATCTTCTTCCCACTCCCTTTCAGGCAGAATCAAGTGTCATGTTTACATGCAATATACACTGTACATGAACTTTCTGTCCTTTCCTTTTTGCACTATATGACATTATTATAAATCTTGTACTTATCTGTTCCAACTTCCATTGCCTGAAATAAATGAATAATTAAGTTGTTTTAGGCTCCACTGGCTGAAGTGTAAGTTTTAGAAGTTTTCAAAGTAGTTTTTTGAGAGGATACTTTCATCTTTCAAACCGACCATTTCATAAAAAGTGGGTCACTGCCAGAAAAGTGAATAATAAAGGAATGCACATTTTTGATCATTCAAGGCATAGAAAAAATTTACCAATATTCATGTTTACCATGCAAATTGTAGCACAGAGGTTTTCGTGTCATGGTTATGTCTTTGCTTTGGGCGGCGAGTTCCTGGAAGGTCCTTCGCCTAAAGCCCAGAGGAAGCAGGGGATTGTGGGTCTAAAAAAGAGGATGCCTGTGCCCCTCCGAGCCCGAGTGGAGCGTGTGTGAAAGGCCACTGACCACGGGACAGGCTGACCTCGCTCACGCTCCACAGAGATGCATCTTTATGAGAACTGAAAGTGTGCGGTAGGCCCAAGAGGAAGTCATGCAGACGGACTTGTCTCTCACTCAGACTGTGGCGGCGTGAGTCAATGTTTCCACTTCCACAAGTCCACAGGCTTTTAAGGTGGAGTGTGCATTAGAGGAATACTAGCGTTTTACCAAGAAATAACACAGAGACCTACTCGGATGTAGGAGAAGGCGGAGACACTAGTGATGTAACGTCAAAACTCCATTTGGGTACTAATGAAAACCCTCAATACTGCTCTGGAATTGTCAACTTTCTGACCATTTATATAATTGTATGGTATCAATGCTTTCTTAATTGATTTATCCAGTTTTGTTTCAAGTTTTAGCATCAATTTTAATATACAATTTTCAACACATATGACAACCCTATTATGAAATATAGATGGAACAAAGTTTGGTCCTATGTCATGTGATGGAACAACCTTCAATGTAGCATCAATAGAACTAGTTTCATCAGGATGTGGCAATTATAAAAGTCTGGAAGGAATAATGAATAACCTACACAAAGTACTTGAACGAGACCTTGCCCGGGAACAACTTGTAGCACTGATGAATATTTTTCTCACTTCATTTGAGGAATCACTGCACTTTAGTATTGAGTCACAAAAGCTAGACAGGCTACGCTTATTCCATTGGTTTATCTGTCAACCAATTAGCACATACTGTATGAACCTCAGTTTTTGCATCAGACTAGAAAGTATATTCTTTGAAGCAATGGCTTATAACTTTTAATGTCCAAAATGGCATCAAAGCATCAAATGATATCAGGGAAGTTTGTGTATCATTCTCACGTTTCATACAATTGGAAGACACAAATGAATTGTTAGGAAATATATTTGTGCTTGAAATGGCTAGGAGTTCTTTAGAAAAACACCATACAAAACCAACATTATTATTATTATTACTATTTTTATATGAAGTGCAGCCTATATTTATCATTCTCTTCAACTTTTATGCTCTGGGAGATCCCATAAGAAGTGACCCAAACAAGCTGAACATCGAGGAAGTTTGTTTTTCCTTATTCTCCCATGTCACCACCATATCCTGTCCTATGTTTGTGCTGGGTTAAAAAAAACAAAAAAAACTAGAGAGCAGAGACATTTCCTATTAGCTGTGGTTCCCGCTGGCATCGTGTCCATTTGTTCAATAGACACTTTAGTTGTGATGTGAGAGAAATTATTTCACTGGCTCAACATTTCCCAGTATTCTGTCATGTTTCGTCATTTTATTGGGTTATTTTCATGACAAGCGAGAAAGTGGAAACAGACAGACAAGAGATTCCTTTGAGCTGATAGAAGTTACGCAATAGTTGTCTGGTAGCTGCAGGGACATTTTGTTTATGTGAGTGTGCGGTGTTTTACAAGACAAATTGTACTTAATCCGTATTACGCAAATGCTAACAGGGAAAAACCCAGCCCAACATGAAGCAATATTGAGAGACTGAAACAGTTTTTCTCTGCAATAGCCTACTCAGATGGCAACCTAGCACTGACCTAAAAAAGGGGAAGACCACAGTTTCTTTCAAATGTGGAGAGCGAGGTTTTTTTGTGGTTTCATACATACATTTTGTTTGCCCCAAGAGAAGCTTGTTTAAGTTTCATTTTGTGAACAACTCGGACCACGTCATGTTGTCTTATCTTATTCAAAAAACATGTTATCTTTGACATACTGAGAGCTGATTGGCTGAGTGGGGGTGGTCCTCTCTTTTTCACTTTTCTGCCTGTCTGAAAAAGATTATACAAAGATCAGCGAAAATACATGCGTTTGAAAACTAGCGACATCGTTACATGGGCTTTTGTTAAAGTTAACTTGTACAATACAATGTATTCTTGTATAGCCCTAAATCACAACAGAAGTCATCTCAGAGGACTTAACAAAACCATTGAAATCACCAACACAGATCAGAGAATCAACAGTTAAAACACAAGTTGTCACTTTAAAAGTTGTTTGTCTCACCTTGGTTTTTTCTTATGGTGCAATACAAAATTATCTCTATCTTGATAATAGCACAGTTATAATACAGTTTGCTCCTTAAACTCATAAACTTCAAAGTTAATGACAAATGTGTGTATAGTAAATGAAGCAAATGTCGAAAGGTGCCAATCTATAAACCTAAACGTCGTCTTGGCCCGTACTAATTGCACAGATTTCTTGTCTTGCATTGGCCTACTTGTCTCTCAGTCTTGTCCCAGATCTGGGTGACACATGCCCGGGCACAGACTGCAGACAGCTGCAGCTCGTGCGTCGTGGCGTTGGCTCTATTTTGGAAAAGCGGTGACTTCATTCATTAGTCGTACAGCTGCACTCTGCCCAGCTCCTGTCTGCTGCTCTGTCTGCCTGTCCATCACCACACTACCACTGTAATTGCGTTTTGGCAGCAGTGCTAATGACTAACTGACTCTACTGACTACTACTCACTTAATGTAATGCTTCCTCACAGGCCCTGGCCACATGACAAGTCTATTCAATGGAACCGATAGAACTGATAACCAATAGTGTGCGGTTTTCATTTTGTTATTAAAGCCATAGCAGTTGATGAAATAACTGTAATTTAGGGCTGCAACTTACAAATATTTTTATCATCGGTTAAACCTGCGAAAAACCTTTTTAAAGTGAAGCAGCTGGAAGAAAAAAAATGTCCAGACAAAAGTTTTATGATTAAGTTAAGACCTTTAAACATTTATTGTTTTATTATTTTGCTATTACTCTGCTTTTTGAGTCTTAAAATGACATATCTCAGTATTTACATGTTTTGGAGTCTGTAAACAGAACAGTTTCTAACGTAAAGGACTTTAAGCAGCGATTTGGCCAATGTACTTGTATTTGAAAAAAAGTAATTCATTTTCCTG